TAATAACTTTCAAAATACTATTTCTAGTTAAACGCTTTTAGGCTTACTTCAAAGCCTGTTCTTTTCTCTTTCAAACAAACTATATCCTTGTCTCCAATGCTAGTAATAATTGCACAGGAAAAGATTTAGTAAAACCTATCATTTTTAGTTGCTGTTTAATTATGCAAGTTTACTATGTTATTGTTTAGTCGGATTAAATGTTAGAATTTTCTTCTTTAAACTTTAATGTTGTCGTCACTACATCTGGAAAACCACGAAGAACAAATTAAAAGTATTTTAAAGAGACCAGGTTGTTTGAAAATCCTAAACGAATGCTAAAAATCGTGAAAACATTCTGGTGTCTGAGCCAGAGTGTCATCGAATTGCGATGTAATGTAAACAGAAATTATAGCAAGTTGATGTCAGTCAGCTTAGATGGTCCAAGCCAAAATTATAAAGCATTTGAAGTTTCAAACTGCAGTTAAAAATAGTGGAAGAAAAGCCGTAATTATACTTATTGTTACAATCCATTTAATAAAATGCAGCATTTTTTTGTTTTAATGAAATTAAAGTTATTTTCATGAGAACGATTTGTTATTCCATCTCAATTTTTTTAATCTCCAATCGCAATAACGTAAAGTATTATTACCCGCGAACCAATGAGTCAAATTTAAGAAACGACCCACTGTTAGAAAGCTGAATGGCTACGCTTTAAAATGAATGTAAACTTTGACGTTTTCGTCTATTATTTGTTTAGCAATTTACATTTCAGTCTAGGATTGCGCTTTTTTTGATACACCCTGTATATATATATATATATATATATATATATATATATATATATATATATATATATATATATATATATATATATATATATATATATATATATGTTTTAAATCTTTAAGATAACTCTAAGAATTGTTGACACGTATCTAGCCCGTATAAAGCCCTAAATGGAATGGCACCTCAATACAAAGACATTTCTATTTAGGAAGGCGTATAAATAGACGAATTTTAAGAACTATTAGTGTATATATATATATATATGTTTTAAATCTTTAAGATAACTCTAAGATTGTTGACACGTATCTAGCTTTTTAGAATAGAGTCAGTTTAGTTATTATTGTAAGTTTACCATTGTAAAGCGCTTTAGAATATTACTTCATAGATTAAGCGCTATATTTAAATACACAGATTAATATTATTATTTTTAAGATTTTCAGGGTTGGGGGTGAATGACACTCGTAAGCCCGCTGAAAATTAATTCCGACTGCAAATAGCCGAAGCTTGTTGGTTTCCGTGACTGGACACACAATATCAACTTCGTAAAAAGTGACCAGGAATTATAGCCAGGAGACGTGACCTATTAGAAATTCTTGATGTCTCGAATACAACGAATATTGGAAGTTTTGCTGCGCTTTTCTTTTGTTTGCCTATATTTTTCGCGTTTAGTTGAGGTTCAAAATGGTTTCATTGTTTTTTTAAACCTGCCTGTGCGCGGCAAATTGTTCGAATTAGTGTTCGTCTTTGTTTTATAGGTTTTTTAGATTCGTATTTCGTAACCAACAATTGGCGTCACAAAAACTACTGTTGATGTAATTGAAATTTGTGACGTCTATATTTCACCGTCTAATGCTTCATATGTTCCCTGAAAATGACCAACAATATTTAGATATTCCATCGTACAGATAGTGACATGCTTGTAGGTTTTTGACTAAAATGCTCAGCAGCATTTTTTGCTAAAACTGTAAAAGTGGAATTATTTTGGTTCTAGCGATGTCATAATTTTCAACAAGATTGAGAAGCCATTAGCACGCTGAAACATGCGTGATCATGAGTTTCTTTAGAGTATTTTAATAAAACACAAAACAATAGACACTCCGTAAAATTGTTATCATTTTAATTCTTTACGTTTCGACTATAATTTAAGTAATCTTCAGAAGGATTCTTCTGAAGATGACTTAAATTATAGTCGAAACGTAAAGAATTAAAATGTTTACAATTTTACGGAGTGTCTATTGTTTTGTGTTTTATGAGTTTCTTATTCGGTGCTTTCACGATCCTTGCCATATTAAATTAAGCAATAAGAAAAAACAAATGCGATAGTTTATATGTAAAATGCGAGCACTATTAGATGATTCAGCTATTTGGAAAAAATGGAAAAAGACGTCCGACGTTTTGAGCGAAGTCCTATAACTTCCAGACGAAGGACCTTCGCTCAAAACATCGAAATTTTTTGTAGTTTTTAGGATCCTTCGATTATACGTACACTAACTAGAACCCGCGCCGTTCGTAGTTGCGGTGATTCACGTAAAAAATGATTATATGAAGTTACTTTAATTTAGGTTTCCTTCTGCAGGGGCGGTTGTTCAAAGCTGGGTTAGCGCTAACCCTGGGTTACAATTTAACCCGCGCGATGTTTTAGTTTGGGTACATTTGCACATCTGTTTATTTCAAAACTTTGGAAAATAAAACTTCTATTGATCCAGACAAGAGTTTTGGACAATTATCTTCATCATGTTTCTATAGATACAGACTGTTGGGAAGTTTGCTTTGAAATTTGCGTTAACCTAGGATAAAGGTTGACAGTATGACTGCATGTGCCGAATAAATAATCTTGTTATTTAGCTAGTGTGAACACCAAACGTGATTGGCTGATTTGTAGTCACGTGGCTTTAGATAAATGCAATGTATCCCGCCCGGGCAACAGTGAAAAATTGTTGCCCGCCCCGACCGGCTATACGTATACATAAATAAACAAAATGACGGCACAAATTTATACTATTTAAACTACTGTTTTCGTGGCTTTGTGTTAAAATAAAGAATGTAAAAGAGAAGAAAAATACATAACAGGCAAACTCGTTTACGCTATAGAGTTTTTGTCATGAAATACAAATATTATTGTATGAATGTTGTTTAATGTTGATATTTGTTTCGTTGCTATATAACAAAACACTTAACGTCTTTTCCCTCGGGAAATAGTTAGTTTTGTTTTCCCTCGAATCTCAATCTCAATGTCTCAAACATTGAGATTCGCGGGAAAACAAAACTAACTATTTCCCTCGGGTGCAGACATTAAGTGTATAATGGCGTTTACTAACTTTACTGTACCTCTAACTGCATGATGACGTTTACTGGATCTCAAGGGAGGAAAGTTTAAATGGGAATAATCTAAATGAAAATTACTTGCAATTAGTCCCTGCAAAAATAAAATTATACATGTTAGTTGATGTTCCGCTGAAATATTTTTCAGAATTTGAAACGTTATTTTATAATAAGAGATGTTCTATATTATTTTACAGTGTGCTCGACCTATATTTTATTCGCTTCAGTCGTAAATTCAAGTTCGTCAATGCATGGTGATCGTCATTCGTCAATATTTCCTGATATTAAATTAGTGACAGCATATGCTGATATACCTGAAGTATCATTCATGTTTTCTCTGTAGGGGAGAAGTCTGAAGATATACTTCGACGATGCTTGAGAGAGACGAAGAAAAAACACAAGATGCATGCAGCAGACCCGCCACAATCTACTTCAACTCAAATGGTGGAATAGACTGAACAATTTCATTCAGTCGGGAAATTTGCAAGGACCAAACAGGTTCGTCCAGGGCATTTTTAAAGACATCGCATCTACAGGGGTAAATATTCGTTTACGACCTTTTCCCTATGCAGATAATTGAGACATTAAGACCATTGATTTCTGTGATGACTTAATTTATAAGATGAGATGTCGAAGAGTCATGATAATTATAACAAGAATGTTACAAGGTTGATGACATTTAACAAATATAAAACATTTTCCGTGTTGATGTACAGTTATATCAACACGAGTGGAATTGGGAAAACGAGAAATTGTATGGAAACACGACGCTCGAAGGGCGGAGTGTTTTCATACAATTTCGAGTTTTCCCAACTTCCACGAGTGTTGATATAACTATATATCAATACGGAAAAAATGTTTTATATTTTTTTTATAATATAGCAATGTCAAAAGCCCGAAGGATAAGAAAAATTTCCGTGTTTGCAAGCGGCGGAAAATTTCCTGTGTTGACATTGAGTTATATCAACACGGCTCTTAGCCAATCAGCGTTCAGAATTTACAAATGCTATATTATAAAAGGTTATAACAATATTTGTTATACCATGACTGTGTCAGACTGGTTGTTGGAACAATCAATGTTGCAACAAGTCTGATAATATCAACAAGGTTGTTACAACTGTTAACAAGTTGTTTTATACTTGTTGGCTACTAATTAGGACAAGCAACTATTTATTTATTTCCATCTATTTATTTATTAAAAATTATTTTAAAACGGTAGCCTATCGAGTGTTAACATTTAAACGATACAGTAGCCTACGGTATATATACAATGCTGTTCTTGGGGTTTGTACGTAATCCAAGCGAGTATATATATATATATATATATATATATATACATTTTAAGACCTGACCAGGAACGACTGCGAAAAATGCAGCACAAGGTCCTCTGGTAGGAATTGAACCTACGGCCCTGCGATTCCGGTGCAGCTCTAACCAACTGAGCTACAGAGGCCAGCTGTTGAGCTGTAACCGTAAGTTCATGTATATATAGGTGATCGGGTGTGCGGGTTGTGATAAGGTGGACTTCAATGATCTGGTTTCTTGCACTTCACTTGGTGGTATTAATATTTGAATGCTGTTCTTAGGGTTTGTAATCCAAGCGAGTGTATATATACGGTATATATACAATACTGATTTTCAAAAGGCCGTGTATATATACAAAACAAATATCCCAAATTATTATAACAAATGAAATGACAAAGTAATAGCTAGATGAACAAATTAAACAACTAGGCTATACACGTTAATCATTTGGTTATTTAAAGTAAGTCACCGAACTGTGGAATCGCATAAAAAAATCGTATATCGGCCACTCCCACAAACGTCTACGAGCTCACCTACATAGTTTTGCATGTTTACAATAATTCTAATTTGGAACAGCCAATCAGGTTTTTGGTAACAATTACAATTGAACGCCATTGGCTGTTTAAAATTAGAATTGTAAACATGCAAAAATATGTAGGTGCGGTCGTATAGACGTTTGTGGGAGTGGTCGATATACGAATTTTTGTTCGGTGACTTTCGTAATATATATTGACAATGTTCATGATATATTTTAATATTTGTAACTATAATTAGGGGAGCTAGGGAAAATTTCTTGGGACACCGGATCAAATTTTCTTCGTGTTGACAATATAACTATATATACATGTATATATATATATATATGTAGTCACAATGCCATTATATTATACTCCTTCCGCGCGCATTACTGCATGTATGCGTAGTAACTTTGTTGTTGGTATAAACAAGCTTATTACAAGGGTGATAATTTCTAAACAAAGTTGTAGAAAATTTGACACGAAAAAGTGATAAAAAATCTGTTAAAGCCTGATCAAACGACAACGCAAGTCATCGCAAGTAAACTCACTCTGGCACTAATTGCTTGACATGACTTGTGATGCGACTGATCAAACGATGCGCAAGTTATCGCAACGATTTGCAAGGCGATATCTATGGCCGCGGGTAATTCTGTAATTTTGCAAATAGGCTACAAACAGAACATGGCCGCCATTTAAACCATTTAAATATATAAAAAGTTATTGAAAATGCCATCGGAAAGAAAGCGAAAAGCTGCCAGCATCGTATTATGTTCTTTGCTAATTGATGAAGACGAATCGCCAAATTAGAGAATGGATTAAGCGAAGGCCAGAAAAAGGACATTTTAATAACATCGTGAGAAAATATATAACGCGTGCACAGAGGACTTGGGACTAGTTTGGCGTTTTTATGGCGTTTTTGTGGTTTTGACGAAAAACTTGCTTTATATAGGATTACAAATAGGGAACTGACTTTATGTATAGCTACTCGCAAGTTAAAAGTTACTTGTATACTGACAATTGACTGTGCAAACAGCTGTTTTTCGCTTCGCTTTATTAATATGGTATAACTACTTAAGGCTCTAAATAGAAGCAATAATATTTACAGAAGAAGGCTGTTAAGCGGCCATACTTAATTGCTTCGCTATGTTTGTGCACTCTACTTAAGCCCGGGTTAAACGAGGATGAGAGTGTATGAGAGTTGGCAGTGACGCGGCCTTGGTTAGCTGTTCTTAATGCTTTCCGAACACTATTGCGATATCATGTATTTTATTTAAGTTAGGACATGCACGTTTGGAAATCTAAAGCTTGAAATGTCCCCGTAACAATGCGTGACTGCCGAGGTCTCCGTCAATTCTCATCCTCGTTTGACCTTAATTAAATAATATATTATTAAAACACACATCTTTAAATTAAATCCCTAATGCTACAATTATATATTTACATGCGTCATACACTGCAAAAAACCTGAGTATTTTGACTGAAAAACTTGATTAAAATACCGCACCCTGCACAGTGACTCAAAATATTGAATAAAATAACTCAATTTTATGTGAGCAAATTCACTCATTTTTTGTGCTAAGAAAATCTTTACCCTAAAAAATTGAGTAAATTTGCCCATAAATTTGAGACATTCTACTCGAAACAGAGTCACAGTGGGTACATTATTTTACTTCGTAATAATCATGCAGGGTGTTTTTGCTGTGTAAAACATTATCTACATGACTGCTGCGAAAAATGATGGCTGGATTATTAAGGTCCATACAGCCGGACGCGATTTGGCAACGCGACGCGAATTTTCAATTTTCCAATTCAATGACATTTAACTTCAATATTTTTCTATGTTTTTCAAATATTCGGAACTACTTAAGCAATTTTAGCTATTTGGTCTACAATTCGCGTCGCGTGGCGAATTTCGTACGCTCGAAAAACACTCCGGTTAAAAATTCTTAAAATTTTCCTGGTTAACCTAGAAATAACCCTGTTTGGGTCAACTTAATATTTCTGGTTAAATTTTTTTTAACATTTTTCTTACAATAATCTGGTTAATTTGACCTGCATATACTTCCTGGTTGAATTTAACCGCGGACTATGCTATAGGATAAATCACGGGGAAAAAATGTAAGTTTCCATTAATGGATATTTGAATGTATAAAAACTGAACTCTTATACCATTATTGCTTATAGATTTCCCATGCATATGGTTGATTAGTAAAAAACATGTTTAATATTTACCTGCAGGAAAAAACATTAATGGTAAATATTAAACATCATATCGTTTTTACCAATTTACCATATAGGAAATCTATAATAACCAATAATGGTATGAGTACAGTTTTTACATTTATTTGATATATAGTATATACATGATAAATGTTTAAAAACGGCATGAGTGTGAATAACTTCTGGTTAAAATAACCATGAGTGGCTCTGGTTATTTTAACCAGATTATGTGATATAAAATAACCAGAAAGTTTAACTAGGTTATTATAAGGTATCCCAAATAGTGGCATGGATGAGATAGAGCGTTCTTTTCTATCTCATCCATGTCTAGTATAATCGCTCACAAACACATGCACAAACATCCAGTCTCCGCTTCTGATTTCAAAATTCTATCATCAGGCACTTCTGAGTGGGATCTTTTTATCCGTGAAAGCTTATTAATTTCTCAACTTAACCCTGTCCTTAATGCTAATATTATATCTATACCCTCTTGAGTTATTTTAGTTATGTAATATTAACTTTAACTATACTAACCATGCACTTAACGTTAATATTTACTTATCAACTAGTTACTGCTAATATTAGATCTATACCCTCTTGAGTTATTTTAGTTATGTAATATTAACCTTAACTATACTAACCATGCACTTAACGTTAATATTTACTTATCAACTAGTTACTGATAAGTTGTTTTCCTTTCTTTTTATTCATTTGTTCTTTCAAATTATGTAACCGTTTTTGTAATATTAAACAATTATTTTGTAAATATATATACCATACCCTGTAAATTGACTTAGATTGCTCTGAAGATGTTGTATTGTAAACAACGAAACGTTCGCTAATTTAATTTTTACTTTTATTATGTTTGGTTTTAAAGTTATTTGCTGGGTTTGCTCTTTATCTTTAAACTAAGATTTCCGCCTGGTGTATCGATTGCCACAGTTTTAATATTCCAGGTTATTAAAATGCCGTTGACATTTTACACTGACATTTTCAGTATACATACGGCTATATATGTCAATTAATAAACAATTGTCGCCAGCCGTAGTCGTATGTAATGATCCAACTGTATTTTTATTGACAGTTCTTGTACTATTTTTTTGCAGTTATTTACTATTAATTATAGTATTATGTTTCTGAACTGCCAAATGCATTTGAAAAAGTAGCAAGTAAAAACTAGAAAATAAAGCTGATACAAAGTCATTTTGAGAAGCACGCAAAATGATTTTAGGTCTTTTTGTCGCAAATACGCGAAAATGGAATGAAATTGCCTCTTATTGAAATATGTAGAATGTTAAAGTATCGCTAGAGACTATGTCTATAGACGTACATGAATTGGCTTTCTTTTCAGGTCCGATGAAAATTTTGAACAAAATCGAACCTTGATTCATGCAACGACATTGTTCAACATCAGCCGACATTACCGAACCTAATGTTGACGCAATAGACATCTCCCTTTTTCACCTTTTGAGTGAAATTTTTATCTAGACAAGTCTAGATCAAAATTTCATCATAGCTTAAAAGAGCATCACAAAATTAGTAATATTCCGAAGTTTCGTTGCGAAATGTTGTAAAATGCGGATAATATGGCCTTGCGAAATTTGCCGTTTTTCAGTCATTTTGTATTACAATAGAAAATTGATAATCAGTTTGATCATCTGATTATCAATTTCCCGTTTGTAATGCAAAATGACTGAAAAACGGCAAACTTCGCAGGGCTATATTATCCGCACTTTGCAACATTTCGCAACGAAACTTCAGAATACTAATTTTGTGATGCTCTTTCAAGCTGTGATGAAATTTTTGTGCAGGCATATCTAGATCAAAATTTCACTCATAAGAGGAAAGGTCTATTACAGTATTAAAGGAATACGGAATGGTTTTCCGTGCAGGATTGCGTGATCCATGCACGTACGCGGGATGTTGCGAGACTTTCGGAACGGCGTGAAAATACACGAGCCGTAGGCGAGTGTATTTTTACGCTTTCCGAAAGTCGAGCAACATCCCAAGTGCATGGATCATGCTATTCTGCACGGGAAAACCATTTGGTAATTGTTTTATAAAATTACTACAGTGAAACGACGGTTAACTTGATTAAAATTACTGATGAAATGTGCAGTTCTGACAACAATCGTGAATTAACCAATCGGAGAATCGCTACTCCACGCTATTGAAAACAACAACAAATGTGAACAGAATTTGATCTTTTTCGATAAAATATACGAAATTTGAACCGCTAAACAGAGAGCCAAAGTAGTTTTGAAGATTGCGAAGCGTTTGAACTTTGAAGCGAGAGATGTTGTACTTGGCACTTGCCATGGTCTGATGAATTTCAACGCTATGCGTTGCTACTTGACCTATCAAATTGCGTGTTTCACTGTAGTTATTATATAAACAATTTTACATCCAACCATGTGGGACGATGCCAAAGAAACATGTTGATCTAGTTTGAACGAGTCTTATGATGCTATTAAAAACTTTAAGATGGCTTTTTACCAAACCATAGCTGTGATGTCGACTTTTCATTCTGAGTACAACGATGTGTTGGCAGCAAACAATCTTTATCAGAGAAGTAGCTAAAATACTCAAATTTAACACATTCACTGTTATCTGGTTTTTGGTCTCCAAACCTTTCACAAGAATTACCGTTTTTGTCGATGTGTACATGGAGTACTTCATCATCTTTCTGATGAAGCTTAATCTTGCATCCTTCTAAATATAAATCTGTTTCCTTTATTTTACCACGATAAGCAGACATAACAATATTCGGGTTGTTAGCCGTAATATCCTTTTCATCTCCAAGCTGTTCGAGCGACATTTGAAGATAGTCCGTTTGATCCACGTCATGGCCATCCTCGAAGGCACAAGTAAACCGTAGCAGATCAGAATTTTGATTGATAAACTGCATTCTAGTTCGGCTGAGCCGATAGCCGCTCCATGTTACAGCATTTTGACTGACAGGATGGTCTTCAGATAAAGGTTTTCTAAATACACTGTTTTCAATTGTGTGGTTTGCAAAACTGAAAGACTGCACCAGAGTCCAAGCACCATCAGAATCAAAATGACAGTATACTTCATACAATAGGTCGTTCACAGAACTACGTACTTTATACATGCCGGATTTCTGGGAACGGTACCCGCCACATGATCTGATTGGCTTGTCACAGTTGTTCCCACGATAACCATCCCGGCATTCGCAGGTGAAACGTTTCCAGGGCTTTTTGGGGGAGTTGAATGGTTTACATATTTTGTTCGAGGGACAGAGATCTGATTGTTGTTGACAACAATTGTACTTCTTTGGGCAAGATATGGTTGAACAGTGGTTGTCGAATTTCTAAGAAGATGAAAGCATTGTACTTTACCCCCAAGGATTTTTCCTGCATGTGATTAGTAGGGATCGTTTTGCATAGGCAGCATGAAAACTGGCCGTTGAATGATCAAGCTAAATTTCATTTCTAATGACTAAAATATTCAAGACGCTCCTGACGGCCATTGTTGATTTTACAAATTATCACAGTTGCTCAAAGTTTCCATTTTTGCCACCAAGCTAAATTGGTTTTGGAAACGTCATAGAAAAGACAAAAGGAAAGCACAACGGTGTCAAATGGATTATCAATTTTTCGTCTCACTATCTACAGATCTTTGCCAGAAATGGACCTCAGAATTGACATCTTCATGTTCAAATCAGTTTATACCAAAAAATTCATGATGTTTGAGCATTCGTAGGCGTTTTGAAGATTTTGTTTTTCCTATACACTGACTGCAAAAACGATAACGCCAACCCGGATTGGAGAATTATTTTAAGAACAACGATTATTGGATATAGAATTCAAAACTATGTGTTATACTCGCAGCCTGGACAGGACCAAGTTTATCGTGTATGGAATTCTAATAAAGTAACAGGGTTGCATGGCTTTTTCTTTTCAAACATTAACAAGAGCGATCGAATCTAAGACGCTAACGTTTTGAGATGGGTACGTCAATTGAAAAAGCATATGCCCTATGGCAAATTAAAAACTTTATCATACCTGAGCATGTCGCATCTCGTACATAGCATAGATGCAGGTATCATTGTCATGAAGCAATGAACTGTTCTTTAATTCCTTGTGACTTGAACACAGCTGACATTTTGTCTCTCCACAAATTTGAAACGACTGACACCGACAGTCTTCTAAACAGTGCTCCAGACAATCTGCTATGCTTCCAGTGTTGAATGTTTTCTCGTTGATAAGACAGGAATTGTTAAACTTTTTGTTTTTCAACGCTTTTATGGTGAGTTGTGGTTGACCGTTGAACATTGACGCCAACGTGTAAGACAGTGTTGTCAAAATGATGATGGCCAGACTATAGAAGAGAAACTTGTATAGGTCATCCTCTAACAAGACTCATTTATCAGTTGTCAGATGAATGATATCAAGTAATTATAGGTCACTTGTTATTTGTATATGCTAAGTTGAAGAACATGTTTAAACTCCTGCTATTAATTGATAGGAACCATGTACTGTAAATTCAACAGAGTCAAATACAGGATAAATTCAACAGAGTTCAATAATATCTGGGAGTCAATAATATTTGCTTTTTCATACTGATATGTCAACGCTATTTGCAACCTCGTTCCCAGGCTATTTGTTCGGTACAACTATTTTCTTCGTTTTGTCGGCATGCAAAAAAGACATGAAGTAAATTTTATTAATATCCTAGCAAACCTTCGGTAGTTCCGAGGATCGAATCCCTCGGCTAAAGCGTGACCTGCGAACATAATATAGCCCTTAAGCTTACAGAAGGCTGACTCACCAAAAAAGCCTAACTGCTGCCACACCATGATTCGTCATCAAAATGCAACACAGGGGGTCCAAGACTCCAACTAAGAGCTGTGTTATGAATATGAATAAAACATATTAAACGTAATATGAATAAAACATCATAACGTAATATATTCAAATTATTGCTCTTACTTGTATAAATACAGTAAATAGCTTCAAACATTGCTTCGAACGATGATTCACAACATAGTTTATTATTGTTCAAATATGGCGAATCAATTGACAAAACGAGAATATTACATGGCGTTCCAACGAAAATAACAGCAAGGATTGCCGGCGCGCGAGCAGAAAGGCGAGGGGAGAATATCTCGAATATTTGGGATATTCTTCCCTCGCCTTTCCGCTCGCGCGCCCGCAATCCTTGCTGTTATTTTCGTTGGAACGCTATTTGAACAATAATAAACTATGTTGTGAATCATCGTTCGAAGCAATGTTTAAAGCTATTTACTGTATAAATTAAAATGCATGCTCTTATCATTTATACAAGTAAGTGCAATAATTTGAATAAATTACGTTATGATGTTTTATTCATATTACATTTTATTCATAACACAGCTCTTCGTTGGAACCCCTGTTAATACACTCGCTATCTTCCTAGCCAGTGCGCTTACGTGAGGCATTCACCCCCCTGAACGTCATCTATTTTGAATATTCTCACGGGGGTGAGTGCCTCTTATAAGCACACTGGCTAGCAACATGGAACGGTTACGCCAAAATCATAGGCAAAACCTATGACCAGCTCAGTTGTGGTTTAACCAGCTCTTGCATGGGGTGTGATGGACACCACGCTTGCCTTTCAAGCTGGTAGATCCGAGTTCAATTATTGATCAGACCTCTACTCAAGGTCTTAAAATAGTTGAGAGAGTGTTATCTTTACATTAACATCAATAAATGGTTAGACTTTCGAGTCTTCTCGGATAAGGACGTTAAAATCGTGGGCACTTCCTATCCCCTATCAATTGGGCAATAGCCTGTTGGGACATCCGCTTACCAATTGAGAAACTCATAAACGAAAACCAAGAAGTCGGCCTTCTGTAAGGTCTTTATTCTGTTGCTAAAACTGGTTTGTTTCTGTGACCGGACGCACAATAACAACTTCGTAAAGAAAGTGACTATATCTATGTAGGAAACAGCTGATCCCAGCAGACGCGACCTATATTTGAAATTCGTGATTTCGCGAATATATAGTATATGGAAAGTTTTACTGCATTCTTCCATTTTCTTGTATTTTTCCCATTCAATTGGGTTCAAAATGGTTTCATTGTCTTAGTTAAACCTGCCTGTGCCACTGCAAAGTGCTCGAGTTAATGATTCGTCATTCGTCTTTGCATAAGGTTTTGTTACATATGTAACCATGCAAGCAATTGGCATCACAAAAACTACTGTTGATATAACTGAAATTTGTGACGCCTATTTCACCGTCTAATGCTTCATATGTTCCCTGAAAATGACCAACAATATTTAAATACTTCATCGTGGAGACAGTGGCTGCTTGTAAGTTTTTGGACTAAAATGCTCGGTGGTATTATTGTTAAAAGTGGAATTATTTTGATGAAGTCATGTTTTGAGAAGCCATTAGCACGCTGGAACATGCGCGCAATCATGCATGAGTTTCTTATCCTGACCAGTGCTTTTACGATCCTTGGCTATATTAAGGCAATAAAGAAAAGCAAATGCTACTTATGTAAAATGCGAGCACTGTGAGGATTCAACTAATTGATAAATACAAAAAGACCTCTGACGTTTTGAGCGAAGTTCTGTCGTTTCCTATAATTCCAGACGAAGGGTCTTCACCAATCATCGAATTTTTTTTGTATTTTTAGTATCCTTCATCGAATTTTTTTTGTATTTTTAGTATCCTTGCTACGTAGCACCCGGCCATGCACCGTTTGTAGTTGCGGTGACTCAAGTAAAAGATAATTCTATTGAGTTAGTTTACTTTAGTTTAGGTTTCCTTCTGTAGTAACGCGGTGACCCAATAAATAATGGCGTTTACTGTACGTCTATATACTGGTGACGTTTACTGGATCTCAAGGGAGGAAAGTTTAAAAAGGAATAATCTAACTTAAATTAATTTCAGACAGATGAAAATTACTTGCAAGTCCATGCAAAAAGAAATCTTTCACTGAAATATTTTTCAGAATTTTAAAAGTTTTATTTAAGAGATATTCTATATTTATATAATACCTTATTAAATTCTAATCGTTTAATTGGCTGTTTATGGTCACGTGATATTGAATAGAAAATTCCATTTCCCAAGAGTGCAATGGAACACGTTCCATTGCACTCTCCGCGAGTGCAATGGAATAAAACGTATAGTACAATTGCACTCTTTGTGTTTTCGATAAATCGCATCCCTCAAAATGCTTCTCATACGAATCTATTAGTCTATTTTGGTATTATATAAAACAAATAATGAATGTTTCTTCGTGCAATGGTAAGAATATTTTCATTCGGTAAAAGATGGAATGTTCCATTCAACTCGGCTGTCGCCTCGTTGAATGGAACATTCCGTCTTTCACCTCATGAAAATATTCTTACCATTGCACTCATAAACATTCATTATTTGTATAAAATACGCTCTGCCGGAATTAATGCACCGAACGATCAAATAACTTCTACGTGCGACTACAATAATTTTATGATATCCTAATACAAGTCGCTTGCTCTAGAGAGTAGAGAATATTTATAATATACGTACAATCCATCAAATGCATCCAATTAACCTTTAGATATATAGAGAGTATGTTATCGTAAAATGATTGACGCCCTACCTCAAAACACCTTGGGACATTTTTCTCCGATATAATTCCTGCCTATATAATCTTGATATTTTAAACTCGGTAAAAGGGCGTCGTTGTCTTGCCTCAAGCTGTTTTGAACACAGTCAGGTGATAACTGTTGCCTGTCAGGTATTTTTGTTAAATAATGAAGTTAAGTAATTATTCATGTCCGACTTCGCTTTGGCATAACAATACATGACTGATTATCTATTTTGGTGCAATAGACAGTGGCATGCTTGTAGCTTTTTGGCTAAAATGCTCAGCGGCATTATTACTAAACTGTAAAAGTGGAATTATTTTGGATTTCGCGATGTCATAATTTTCAACAAGGTTGAGAAGCCATTAGCACGCTGAAACATGCGCGCAATCATGAGTTTCTTATCAAGTGCTTTTACGATTTTTGGTTATATTAAGGCAATAAGGGAAAACAAATACTATAGTTTTGTAAAATTCGAACACTGCAGAGGATTCAACTTCCTGAAAAATACAAAAAGACCTTTTGGGCGAAGTTCTGTCGTTTCCTATAATTCCAGACGAAGGGTCTTCACCAATCATCGATTTTTTTTGTATTTTTAGGATCTTGCATGCTACATACACTAACTATATATAGCACCCACTGTTCGTAGTTGCGGTGATTCAGGTAAAAAAGAATTACATTAAGTTTGTTTACTTTAATTAAAGTTTCCTAATAGTAACTGTGACCCAATAAATAATGGCGTTTACTGTACTCCTCTATAACGGGAGCGGTTTGCTGGATCTCAAGGAAGGAAAGTTTAAATAGGAATAATCTAACTTAAATTAATTTCAGACAGGTGAAAATTACCTGCAAGTCATTGCAAAAAGAAAATTATACATGTTCCACTGAAGTATTTTTCAAAATTTAAAAAGTTATTTTTAAGAGATGTTCTATAAATACGCGATGGTGGAATGCACCGAACGATGAAATAACTTGTTCGTGCCTGTATAGGAATTTTACGATGTCCTAATACAAGTATGCTAGCTTGCTCTTGAAAATATTTATAATACAAGTACAATCCATCAAATGTATCAATTAACCTTTACATATAGAAAATATGTTATCGTAAAATGATTGACGCCCTACCTCAAACGAGCTTGGGACATTTTTCTCCGATATAATTCCTGTCTATATAGCTAATCTTGATATCCTGTGCTCGATAAAAGAGCGTCGTCGTCCTGGCTGAAGCTGTTTTCCATGCAGGTGATAACTGTTGCTATGTGGAGCCTGTCAGGTAGTTTTGTTAAATGATGAAGTTAAGTAATTATTCATGTCCGACTTCTCTTCGGCATAACAATATACATGCAGGATGTCGAATACGGGCGCGAATAATACAGCGGAAAAGTCGAATACGAGCGCGAAAGGTTGCTGGGAATCACTAATAAATTCATTTATTTGCGATTCACAGCAGCCTTTTGCGCTCGTATTCGACTTTTCCTCTTTGCTCGGGGGACAACCTTAATTGAAATAGCTATATATAAAAAAAAGGTAATCAAACTTCATCTACGGCGCCGCCACCCCATAATTCGTCATCAAAATGCACTCGCCATGCATGTTCCTAGCCCACACGCTTACGAGAGGTATATTCATCCCCCTGAACGTGCACCATTTTTAAGATTTTCAAAGGGGTGAATGCCTCTCGTAAGCGTAAAAAAGTGACCAGGATTCGCAGCTGACGCCAGCAAACGTGACATATATAGTAAAGTTTTACTGCGTTTTCTTTCATTCTCCTATATTTTTCGCATTCAATTGAGGTTCAAAATGGCTTCGTTATCTTTTGAAGCTGCCTGTGAGCGGCAAATTGTTCGAGTCAGTGTTCGTCTTTGTTTTAGGTTTTTTAAAATTCGTGTTTCGTATATAACCAAGCAATTGCATGGCGTCACAAAAACTACTCGAGCTCTTGATATAATTGAAATATGTGACGGCTATTTCACCGTCTAATGTTTCACTAGTATAGGCTATATGTTCCCTGAAAATGACCAACAATATTTAAATATTCCATCATAGAGATAGTGGCATGCTTGTAGTTTTTTGACTAAAATGCTCAACGGCATTATTACTGAAAGTCATGGAGTTATTTCGGATTTAGCGATGTCACTGAATTTTCAACAAGGTTGAGAAGCCATTAGCACGCTGAAACATACATGCGTGATCATGAGTTTCTTATCTGGTGCTCTGTTCATGATCCTTGCAATTGCCCATATTCAATTAAGGCAATAAGGAAAAACAAATGGTAGCTAGTTATATAAATGCGAGCACTGCAGAAGATTTAACTAACTGAAAACGGAAAAAGACGTCCGCACTCCGACTTTTTGAGCGAAATCCGCGTCGTCTCCTAACTTCCGGACGAAGTCGAAGGTCCTGCGCTTGAAACATCGAAATTTTCTGTAGTTTTTACGATCCTTACTACATACATGCACTAACTATAGCACCCATGCACCGTTCATAGTTGCGGTGATTCACGTAAAAAAATAATTCTACAAAGTTAGTTTACTTTAATTTAGGTTTCCATCTTCTGCATGCATGGGGCGTTTGTTCAAAGCTGCGTTAGCGCTAACCCTGCATGGGTTACAATTTAACCCGCTGTTTTTGGTTTGGATGCATCTGCACTTCTGTTTATTTCAAAACTTTGGAAAATAAAACTTCTATTGATCCAGACAAGATGAGTTTTGGAAAATTATCATGTTTCTAAACAGGCTGTTGGGAATTCGCTTTGAAATTTGCGTTAACCTAAGCAGGCAGACAGTATAAATAAATATATATATATGTATATATATATATATATATATATATATATATATATATATATATATATATATATATATATATATATATATATATATATACATATATATATATATACTGTATATATATACTGTATATAATATGTTAAGATGAAATGTTCTAGAGTGTGTATTATATAATTTCCATACCCTGCCGCGGCTGGGTCTTGAACCCGCGACCTTCGAAATAATTAATAACACAATTTAACATAACACTTGCAGAACTAGTATTGTTCGATGCTGAATTAATATAAACGAGTATGTTTATGACATTCAGTATATATTTCATAATTTCCAGTCTTAAATCCGTCTGACCATGTAGCTCAGTTGGTAGAGCGTCGATCTAGTAATTCGAAGGTCGCGGGTTCAAGACCCAGCCGCGGCAGACAACATCTTTCTGCTTGCGCTGGGTATGGAAATTATATAATACACACTAATATATGGAAATTATATAATACTACAATATATTACGGAGTGTACAATTACACAACTTAACAGATATATATATATATATATTATTATTATTATAATATATATATATATATATATATATATATATATATATATATATATATATATATATATATATATATATATATATATATATATATATATATATATATATATATATATATATATATATACACCTAATTCAAAAAAGGTTGTCCTAGTTTGCAAACCTTAAACTCTAATCCTTAAACCTTAAACTCTAAGCGTACAAAGCTTAATGGGAGCACAAGTTTCAAGCTTAGTATTTGACCATTGCACCTATTTGTGAATGAATTGTTCTCGTAAGGAGACATTTGCCATGTCTCCAAGAATGTGCAAACCTACGTGTGTATACACGTAGTAATTAAAATTAAAGCCATGCAAGCTAAGATTAATAAAACCATGCAATAATTATAGTGAAATATGTAACAGTAATAGAGAGCTCTTTACATGCAGTTGGATTAAGCCAGGTTTAATATTCAGCTTACCAGCAGAATACGTATCGTCTTGTTCAAATATTATTTACCTGGGATCGGCATGTGTAGATTTGCATATTCTCACTGCATTGGAAGAAACTTCGTCCAAGTCATAAAAATGTGGAATACTCAAAATGGCGGTCCGTGCTACTGCCGCGTTTGAACAATACAGGTGTTCATGACTTATCATTTTCGCTACAAAATGAGGATCTTTTGTGTATTCTTCATCATTCAGAATCTAAAAATATACGAAACCTTGTACCAACAGAAAATTGCAAAGTGTGATTCCATGCACTGGTCATTCTTTTAAAATACTGTGTACTCCACTCAGTAATTTTCACCTCTGATTTAGTCGTGCAGTAACGAAACTTATCCGATTTATTGCGCAATTGCTACGCGAATTGGCGACCAAAAACGGGAAATTCTTCAATATCAAGGAACGTCTTTTTACTTTCTATTCATGACAATCAACAACCCTATAATACACGGACTAATATTATTGCGTATAGTTTGCTTGGTCGACACCTTATTAGTTCACTCTTCGTGTTGCCTGTGTTTCGCCTATGCACACGCCACAACTGTGCCAAAATATTGAATGCAAAGAGTAGTATGAATGTTGGTTAAAATTAAAGGTGCTATATTTAGACTTTTGCAAGACCCCTGACCGCACAATAATCATTATGTGATATATATATTCTTCATTTTTTAAATGTTCATCAAAATTTCGTTAAAAACGAAATAAAAATCATTTTTAAATCATCCGAAGGAAACGTTTTCAGTCAATACATGCACTTTATAATACTTTCTACGTTACCTTTCCAAATAATCCTTTGAAATCTGGACCTTTCGTCTCGCCTAATTCTGGAAATCCATTTTTATTCCACGATGCCAATCTACGAGCAACATCGAGTTCGTCAACTACTCCACCCCATGAAAGAATGGAATCCAAGATCAACATCTAAATTGATTATGCAGATGGAAGAAAGCACAAGATTGTATAAATATAAAACACTGATTGTTTTCTGCATGTACTCTTTGAACAAATTTGATTGGAAAGAGTTTGATAACTTTAAAAAATCCTCTGAAGACACATCGTAGTAGTGTTAAAGAGCCGACACAGACGCAATACTTCATGTAATACAAAATATAGTGTCTCCGCTTCAGACGCAAACTTCATATTATACAAAATATAGTGTCTCCGCTTCAGACGCAATACATTCGTGTAATACAAAATATAGTGTTTCCGATTCAGACGCAATATTTTATACGGTGTTTTCGTCCCCTTCGGCTTTTCCTCCCGAGTCCGGTCTCCGAGGTTTTTTCGGGACTTTTTTCCAAAGATTTTATCCGATATTTTTCCCAAGTCTTTTCCAAGACTTCCCCAAGATTTTCCCAAGTTTTTTTCCGAGTTTTTCCAAAGTTTTTTTCCGAGTTTTTTCCCAGGTTTTTTCCCACGTTTTTTCCAAAGTTTTTTCCCAAGTTTTTTACAAAGTTTTTTCCGAAGTTTTTTCCCAAGTTTTTTCCCCAAGTTTTTTCCAGGTCTTTTCCCGAGTCGTTCCCTTTTCGGTTCGTGTCCTCAAGTTTTTTTCAAAAATATTTTAAAAAAACCCGCGTAAAATCGAAACCCTGTAACACCTTATACGAATAAAAAACCCGGTATATAAAAGAATGGAAGATCAAAAGACTCACGATAATAGTTTATCGGTAAGCGTGTCGAGAATAATATGTAGGTACAGGTATATTTTTGGATGTGATAATATGGGTGAATTTGACGGCAGGCATTTAGCCTTACTCACAGAACTTGTTGGATCTGGGAACGTTTTGAGGGGACCGTCTGGTGGACTTCGGATAGAAAGGAAAAGCCTGCCGGTTCTTGACAGGATAAGGGATGATATTGTATCCGGACGAACGGTAGGGAGGAAGGTATCGAACGGTGTAAAGTCGGAAGCGTACAGGTGGGGGGTCGACATTAGGAAAGAGGAGGCAAGAAGGTATAGGGAAATTGAAGATTGGGGACGTGGTATTGCCGAATGGAAAGGTTTTTATTTTATACAAAAGGAAAGACATTTGTGGAAAGAAAGGGAAGAAAGAAAAAAAAGGGAAGAAAGAAGGAAAAAACAGAAATGGCGTACATTCAAACGATCGGAATACGTACGACGACCGGGACGTGTATGGAACACGCAGAATTCGGAGATAAGGGTGATCGACGACGATGGTACTGTACATTACGTATCGAATCCAGACTTTGTACCTGGATTCAGAGATTGATGGTTTTTTAAATTGTATTTTTTTATGTTTGATAGGAAAGAAAGAAAGAATGGAAAGTTTCGGTTCGGAAATCAGGAGACTTGCGTCGGAACGAAAGAGACGGAGGGTGAAAGAAGAACGTAAGAGGCTGAAAGAAGAATTCATGAGGACTGGAGAAAAACTCAGGAGGTTGGAGGAGAAGAAATTTTTTATGGAAGAGCAGGGTCGTCGCGTCGACAAAATTAAGGATAAACTTTTATCCGGAAGAAATTGTGAAATTTTATGTCGCGGGGTGGAAATGGAAAAAAAGGGTTTTGAGTTTAGGTTGGATCTGGAAAACGACGAGAGGGAGAACACGCGTGCCTTGCGAAAAATTCTCGGTTACGATCGTTATCTGGAAGATGGTGGTTACGATGAGATCGAAATACTTATCTGTCCTAACGAGATTGATAATACGGAAGAGGAAGTGGGAAATTATATGGATTATGGAACCTTGGTGTATGGTTAGAAAAAAAGTGAACCCGTAACACCTTATACGAAAAAAAATTTTTTTTTTATACAATAAAGGAAAGAATGTCTATCACCAAAGTCTCGGACTTCACCAAAGATTCGTTCCGTTTCGAAGCCGGTGTCGAAAACAGGTTCGGATCCAGAAAGATTAAATTAACGGCACGCGACCGAGGTCCACTTCTCCTGAAGGTCACGGATTGTCTGTCGTACGGCGTGGACGAAAATAACAAGTACGGTAAGGAAAATCTTTCCGTTTCCCTATCCCTTTGGGAAAAGTCGGAGTTTATCTCCGTTTTAGAATTATTAGAAAAAGAATGTGCGAAGCACGTCGATAAGCCGGACGAGAAGATAATGAAATGTCTTTATCGGAAAGGTAGCGCTCCCGTTTTATATCCCAAGATCGATGACGAAACTGAAATGTACGAACCGAAAGGAACCGGTCCGGTCGATCCGAAAAAATACCTGAATAAGAGATTTCATCTCGATGCGATCGTTCGAATCGACGGAATCTTTTTATCCGACAAGACGACCTGTATTCAGGTAAAATTATACGAGGCAAGTATA